GCCCCAGTTCATCCCCCCATCCTCCCACTGCAGCCATGACCACCAACAACCAGAGCCCCAGTTCATCCCCCCATCCTCCCACTGCAGCCATGACCACCAACAACCAGAGCCCCAGTTCATCCCCCCATCCTCCCACTGCAGCCATGACCACCAACAACCAGAGCCCCAGTTCATCCCCCCATCCTCCCACTGCAGCCATGACCACCAACAACCAGAGCCCCAGTTCATCCCCCCATCCTCCCACTGCAGCCATGACCACCAACAACCAGAGCCCCAGTTCATCCCCCCATCCTCCCACTGCAGCCATGACCACCAACAACCAGAGCCCCAGTTCATCCCCCCATCCTCCCACTGCAGCCATGACCACCAACAACCAGAGCCCCAGTTCATCCCCCCATCCTCCCACTGCAGCCATGACCACCAACAACCAGAGCCCCAGTTCATCCCCCCATCCTCCCACTGCAGCCATCCTCATCATCGGAGACGAGATACTCAAGGTGATCTGTGACCTTTCAGCTTCATCCCACTGACGGTGAGTAGGGGTCTCTGCAGTAGGCTTTGTCCTGTGGGCGGAGACGTCTCTGCTCGTGACTGGCAGAGGTTTCGATGTGGGCGGAGATGGCCCGAGACGTGATTGGTCGGATTGACGGTGGGGTTTGAGGAGGCTGGAGGCAGCAGGGAGTAGCTTGATCAAGTGAGAAGGGGTTATCTGCGGAATCTAAGTGGGCGTGTCACAAGAGTGGGCGTGTCTAAAGCATAAACACTGTGGACTACGAGGCCTACATGACGGTATCCTTAGACCCTGCTTGACCTCTTTACAGCCTGACCCTGACCCCAACACTAGGGTTAACCAGGAGAAATGTGACCCAAGTAGGGGTCTCCAGAAAAAGTGGTGCCGTACAGAAACGCCCCTTTTGTTCTTGTCCAATCAGGTGTGTTTAACAAAGTCTGTCAAATCAGGTGTGTCGCTTTAGAATCGCCTTTTGTTGGGACACGCCCACTTGTCCGCAGAGACCCCTACTTGGATCAAGTCAGGCAGGAAGCAGCATGTTTTTTTTAGATTAATTTTAGTCATAACTTGAGAAAGGAAAGTGCTAGCTGCATGAAATTTGAACGTCTTACATGTGAAAGGATGTGTAACAATATGGTTCGGTTAAAACATCCCTAACCAGCCTGTAAAAAGATAGCTAAAAATCAATATTTTTTACAGACTGGTTAGGGATGTTTTAATCAAACCATATTGTTACACATCCTTTCACATGTACGACGTTCAAATTTCATGCAGCTAGCACTTTCCTTTCTCAAGTTATGACTAAAATTAATCTAAAAAAACATGTTACTTCCTGCCCGACTCGACCAGGCTACTCCCCGCCATTGCTCCCCGCTGCTCCACCGTCAATCCGACCAATCACGTCTCGGGCCATCTCCGCCCACAGGACGACATGTTCTGCAGAGACCCCTGCTTTCTGACGGTGAAACTCTCTGAAAATGTTTCTTTTCTGTTTGATGTTACAAACATGGACTCAGTCATCTGCTCGCCTCACAGTTTAGAGTTCTTTCAAGTGTTTGAGTCACTTGTCAGAACTCTGGGAGAACCTTGTGATGTTCGTTTGATGTGGCGGAGCGGCTTTGTTTTAAAGTGACACGTTCACCATTCTCCCTTGACTTGATTTAAACATGGAGGCTTTGATTTGGTCCAATGTCACGCCTGACACAAACACGTCCAGCAGAAGTCCTTGGGTTTCATCAAGCAGAACTTTGGAGGGTTTTTTTGTGAGTCCTTGGATGTGACGTGTGCGTTTGGAGCAGCTGCAGTGAAACTGGTTGTGTGTCTGTTTCCAGGGCCACACCGCCGACACCAACAGCACCTTCCTGGCTCGAGCGCTGCGGCGGCTCGGCGTGTCCGTGCAGAGGATAACGGTCGTGCCTGACGTGCAGGAGGTCATAGCCCAGGAGGTGGTCCTCCTCTCCTCTCAGCACACCCACCTCCTGACGTCGGGGGGCGTGGGCCCCACGCACGATGACATCACCTTCCAGAGCATCGCCGTGGCGTTCCAGGAGGAGCTGTACCCTCACCCTGAGCTGACCAGCCTGGTGGAGGAGTTCTTCGGCGTGACGGACCGAGACAGCCCGCCCATGAAGATGGCCATGGTGCCTCGCTCGGCAAAGCTCAACTACGGGACCGACCCTCAGACAGGAAAACGCCAACGCTACCCGGTCGTAAGTGAATCCAGGTTAACGGGACAAATAACACGGAAACCCCTCTGTCCAAAACCTCTTCACATTGTCTGCACATGAATAGAACAGAATAGAAACAGCCTTTATTGTCCCACACAGGAAATTCAGGTGTAGCAGCAGCAGGTAAATCACTGCACAGAAACAGTATCCTGCTATGTGACATCATCAACTGTAGCAATAATAACAAAATTAAAGATAGTAACAATAAAAATAATAGATCAAAATAAAAGTAAGAATAATAATTATTGTACCGAACTACCAAGACGAAAATTAGATAAAAATGAAAATAAAAGCAAAACTTACGTTTGTTCTGCTGCAACATTGACATTCATTTTATTTTAATAACTATAAGCACATTTTCAGAGCTCTATAAAATACTTTAAAAATAACTAAAAGTAAAATTACTTGAACAGAAAATGACTTTAGTAAAAATAAATGTCACTGATGAGAAAACTACTCAAGTAAAAGTCATAAAACTGTTCACAAAAACTGGGAAAGTAAAAGTACTTTTACACTCTCTAAGGTACTTTTAC